CATTTTCTGCAACTTATGCTTACATACGTCATTCCACTTCTCTCGTCGCATGTCCCACGTCACACTGTGCTGTCGGCTGTCCCTCTGTGCAGTGTTTTCTCCTCCTGGGACTTATTTCAGATGGGTCTCCAATGCTCTACTGAGTACGCCCCATGATCGACGGGCTCATTTCCCTGGCATTGACCATCTAGTGGTTGTCTCCAGTTTTCCGTTATTAAGCATAAAGGTTTGGTGGACATTTTGGAACCCTATAGTTTGTTTTATTTGCTTATTTATTTTCAACTTGAAGATGAGTTCTGTAGGCTGCTTTCCCAGAAGCAAAATCATCAAAGAAAGTTAACCGTGTCTGTGGCTCTGAGAGCACGCTGCCTTGCTTTCCAGAAGGTTCTGTATAATTAAGGGAGGCGAGGGACTAACATTGCACCCCAGCTCAGGCTCTAAAACATGAGTTTTGTTTGCTCACATATTACACTGTAATCATGTAACGTTAATAAACAGCCCCCCTCCTTGTCATTAGGATTTGTCTCTCACTTCCTTTGAGAGCTTTGGTATTTCCATGTACTTCTTTGACAGCTAGGTCTCACTGTGGGACCTTCTGCTCCTTCCCTTCACATTGTGAGAACTTGAAAGTGGCTTGGGAGTAGCTGGGGATCCAGGTATGTGGAAAGATGGGTGGATGGACAGTACTGGTCCTCTGATGGGCAGCCCCTATGCAGAAGGAAGTGAGGTTTGGGGAGCTGGCCTGTCCACAAGGCTGCACTATAGAAGCAAATGGAAGTGGGAGCTCAACTCACACAGTGGTTCAGGCCGAAGGCCCAGGCACATGGGGTTCAGGGACAGGCCGTCTCCTAAGGGTAGTCAGAAGTAAAGACCTGGTCTTCTGGCCTAGGTATGGAAGAGTAAGTCGGGCATTAAGTTTTCCCTCAGCACCCACCAAGTGCCAGTTGTAAGCCAGGACCAGAGAGGACTGAAGCACAGATCTTGCTTCAAGAGTTTAGTGGGCAAGATGGATGTTATAATGCCAAACTCAGCATGTGACTACAGCTGTGCAGTGCTTGGTGTGGAGCCTAGAACATAGGTGGCCCTTGATAAGCTTTGCTAAATCAGTCAATGAATAATAGATGACTCCAAAAAATTGCATGTCCTAAGACCAGGTTCCCTATAAGAAGGATGCCTGGTGAACTGAAGATGCAGA